TAAAATAATTTAGTTTTCTATTTATAGAGTTTTCATGGTTAAAACAATAATCTTAATTAGAATTTTATTAGAGATTATTGACATATCTAAAGAGAAGTATTCTTGTGACTATAAAAGTAGTAACTAATTGAAGTTGTATTAAGAGTAAAACATAAATAAAAATTGTTATTATAACAGAAATCACACATGAGAGAATCCAGAAGTAGCTCCATCATCTAGTTAATAACCCTTTCCTTTATGGTTAGTCTTTTCCATTAATTCGACTTCATCTAATGACTCTCTTAGCTCCTATTCACATCCAACTTTAATGCATTGGTGATTTAATCTAACAAGTTTCCTTCTTCCTCCAAGTATTGTAGAAAACACAAGGAACCCACTCCTGCATGTGGCAGAGAACGTTGCATCTTCACTACCAAGTCTTAGTCCAACTGCTACAGATTTCCCTCCTCATCTCATGACACTTCCTAAGTATTGGGGTGAGGTGGCTACTGGTGGATATTTTAGGCGTGGGAGGTTAAGATTTTAGGCCTAATCTACACCTATAAATAGACCACTCCACACTCTTTCAAAGACATACCTTACTCATCTTCTCTTCTCTATTTTCTTCATGTTCTATTCTTATCCTAGGTTTATTTACTCTTTTAAGAGTTTCTTGCTAGTTTCTGAGTTCCTCGAAAAATCTAGGAAGTTCCTGTTGTATTCTGGGGGGCTTGCGCAATACTCCACGGATAAGTCCTTTAAGGGTAGTGATTATACACACTCAGGAATTAAGTTTTGTTAGTAGCTTTGTCAGCTTTTAAAACAATCTTAAGGACTTATGGCTGACAGTATGGATACCAATAACAACTCTACACCGAAAAAGACAAATAATGTTTCCAGAACACAAATTGTCTTTGTGAAACCTTTCTCGGACGTTTTGAAAATTGAAGTTTTCACTGGGCAAAACTTTTGACATTGGCAGGAACGAATTTATACTCTGTTAGAGATGTATGGAGTGGTTTTTGCTCTTACAACTACCAAACCTGACTCTAGTACTCATACTAAACAAATTGAAGACTGGATTCATTCGAACAAGGTATGTCAACACACTTTGCTTAGTGCATTGTCTAATGATTTGTTTGATGTGTACTTGTCCTATAAAGAAGCCAAAGATATTTAGGATTCGTTGATTCTCAAATACACTGTCGAAGATGTCGTGAGACAAAGGTTCATTATCGAAAACTACTACTATTGGGGATGCTAGAAGACAAGGACATCAAGATCCAGATCAATGAGAACCACAAGCTGCTTGAAGATATTAAAGTTGAAAACATAGTCCTACTTGATGAGTTCGTTTCAGAACTTATAATCGAAAAGCTTCCAGAATTCTGGACAGACTACAATAACAACTGAAGCATAGGCATAAATAGATGTCAGATCTTATCACGCATATCATCATTGAAGATACCAACCGGAAGGAGTGTGTTGCTGCAAGGGATAAGGTTTTATCAGCTAAGGCAAATATGGTTGAAGACAAACCAGCTCCAAAAAGGTACGAGAAAAATAGGCACCAAAATAGTGGCATGAAAAACTTGATAGTGTTCTACTTTGCGATGACTTTTTAACTAATGATGCTGATAAATGTGTGTACTCTAAATTTGAAAGTGGTGAATGTGTCATTATATGTTTATATATAGATGATATATTAATATTTGGTACATGCATTGACATTGTTTTTAGAACTAAGTTGTTTTTGGGATCTAAATTTGAAATGAAAGACATGGTGAAACCAATGTGATGTTGGAAGTTAGAATCATGAGGAAGAGAGATAGTATTTTACTATCCAAGAACAATACATTGAGAAACTTCTTAGGAAGTTTGAGCGTTATGACTTCAAACCAGTGAGTACCCCTTATGACGCTAACTCTAAGTTAAAGAAAAGTAGAGGAGACTCAATTTTTCAAACTCAGTATGCCCAGATAATTAGAAGTTTACTGCATTTAATAATCTTTTCTAGACCTAACATTGCTTATGCAATAGGTACACTCAATGTCTTAATCAAGAACATTGGGATGCACTTACAAAGCTTATGAGATACTTAAGAGGTTCAATGAGTTATGTCATTGAATATAGTGGATTTATCGTTGTACTAGAACAGTATAGTGATGCTAACTGGATCTCTAGTTCAGATGAGACAAAATCCACTAGTGGTTATGTATTTACACTCGGGATAGTTCGATTACATGAAGATCAGTCAGACAAACAATTATTACAAGATCAACCATAGAATCTAAGTTTGTTACTCTCAAAATGGTTGATAGTGAAGGCTGAGTGGTTGAAAAATGTAACATCTGAAAATTAATGTAAAATTTTCTTCAAATATAATGTGTTAAATAATATTTTAGATAATTTAAATAATTTTAAAAAAGACTCATTTATGTAAATAAATAAAGAATAATAATAATAATAAAATATTTATTAAAATAAAATAATTATTATCAAATTACCTTTATTTCCATCAATCTTTCTTATTTATTTGTTTATTTTTTTAATTTAAGTTATATTAATAAATTAATTTTATATTTAGATACAAAGATTTAATATAAAAATTGATATATATATATATATATATATATATATATAAATTATTTCATAAATTTATGTTTTAGATTGATCTAGATTTATTTAGGTTGGACTAAACAAAATAAAAATCACTCAATTTAATTTAAGTGATACTTTTTAACTTAAACAAAGTCTGTGTTGGCTTCCCCGTTTATATTGTTTGTTTCTGCATAAAAGGACAGAAATATAATGATTTATTACATTTGTTTTATTTGATTTGGAGAGAAAGTTTTTTAAAATACATATTCATTTATACTCTTCTCCTTTGAGATGAAATTACTAGAAAGTCAACTAGAAATTACAAAATATTATTTTAACCTTATGCTTGAACATTTTCATTCCATTCTCACACTTCTTGTGTGTGATTTATTTTGCACATCTATTAAATGATCAATTAATTATTTAACCAAAATTAATTGATTATGGTACCAACACATAATTGATGTTTAAATACATAATATATCTTATTATATATTCATCTTTTTCTTATATATATATATATATATATATATATATATATATATATATATATAATTTTAATTTATATATATATAATATCTATATTTTAATTTATTTTAATTTATATATATAATATCTATATCTTAATTTTAATTTATATTTTATTATACATAAAATTTATTTAACTTTCGATTAAAAAATATTTATTATCAATTTATATAACAAATTTCATTTAAATATTTTTTATTTGTTTAATAAATTCATATCATAAAATATTTTGATATAAAAATTAGTTTTATTTTTATCCATTTTTAAATAATTATTTCATTTTAAATTGTATTTTAATTTATATTTATTTTTATTAAAACTTATAATAAAAATATTTTATTCATTTATTAATTTTTTAAAATAATCAAATCAATCTTATCATTTATATTATTTATGTACTCATTTCCTTTTATCTTTCATTCTCTTCTTCTTAATTTAAAGAATCTCATCCTTAATAAAATTTCTTTACAGATTTTTATTTTCTGTTCTTTTTTCCTCAATCTTAATAACTTCATTTTCTATTTTATTTTTATTTTCATTCCTTCAAAATTATCCTTTAATTCAAACACAAACTGAGTGATAATTTTTTTTAACTAAAATAAGTTATCATACCAAACTATTTTTTATAAGTTATTCCGGTAGAAAAATAAATTATGCTATCATCAAATCATATATTAAATAGAAATAAAAAAATTAATTAACTTACAAATTAGAAAGATAAATAATTTATAAATCTAAATTCTTTTATATATTTTTTAGTAAATATTTTATTTATGAAAATACAATGTATTACGCCCTCAAAAATACTCAATCACTACCTTAAAAAAATCGTGATTAAAATTAAGTTAAAAGATCTCTTATACATCATAACATGAATAAGTTTATAAATTCAATCTTACATCTCCTATCTTTTCACATTTTAAACATGACTTCCCAATATTCTATTCATCGTATCAGTTGCACTTTTTTTCTTTAATTTTAACTTTTAAAATATATATATAATATTTCGTTTTTTTTATTGTCAAGGTTTGACGTGTGCAGAACCATTTCTCAAATAATATTATATTTAATTAATAAAAATAGTTTTAAATTAACAATTTAGAATGACCGAAAAAACAAGAAATTAAAAACAAAACTTTGTTACATATTTTGAGGAACAAAAACATATATTTAGAGCAAATTAGATTTAAAAATCTTTTCTATATTTACAAGTATATATGAATGAAAAAAAATGGAAATTAATTAAAAAAAAGATAATATTTAGAAAAATTAGAGAACCCAACCGGATTTACAAGAAAAACTTCGAAAAATTGAAAATCTAGTACAACAAAATGTGAAAATAAGAAAAAAAAATATCAAACAAAATTCGATAATGCATACATATGGTAGATAGTGTGTAACTGTTATTTGTCTTATTTAGCAGCTAATAATATGATATATAATATAAACACATCTCTGTGAAAACTTCGTACACACTTCTATCTCTATCTCTCTACTCTGAAGAAAATAAAAAAGTTAAAATTAACTTGGTTAGTATTTATTTCTTAACTGGAAACTTTTTCAAACAATCCGTGGTACTCTCTCTCTCTCTCTCTCTAGAACTAGAATATAATTGATCGTCCTTATTCCTTGTTGGTGAGGATAATAGTGTCTTTTCCAGACGAGGGAGTAAGCAAGAGAAACGGGGTAATTTCATTAGAATGACTAGAAAACATAGAAGCATAAATTTGAAGGGCAATTCACTGCATCATTCCACGAATATAGAAAAGAAAACATAATAAGGTAATTATCCTAAAACGGACGAGGATACACGCTCGAGAGAAGCATACTTAAGAGATTAAATTGGTAGTCCTAGATTTCTACCGTCCAAATCTCCTCACAATTTGTTCTTCCTAAAGGTGTCTCTTGTCCAGGTCATCGAAGTAGGGATGTTCCATTGCTTTCTTCGCAGAAATCCTCTTGGAAGGTTCATATTTCAGCATTTGCTGCAAAGAAGAGAGAAAAACACAATGAAATGAAATTCAACAACAACTACAAAGAAAGAGATATATAGTTAAGGAGGTGCTAACAGAAAGCAGATCGACTCCAAGTTCATCCAAACTCGGAACAGCTACTGACAGACTTTGAGGACTCCATTGGGGGTATTCATGCCAATTCATTAGTTTACTCACGCCTGGCCACATCTCTTCATTAGGAGTACCCAATAGCCTGCACAAACAGGGTAGGAATTATATGCAAAATGAAGCAAAAACACTTAGCACAGGCACACAAACACCTGTATATTAGTGCTAAATTCCTCACCTGAATATATGAAGGAGTTGTTGCAGCTCGGAATCACCAGGAAAGAGTGCTTGTTTGGTGACAAGTTCGGCTGCAATTGAGACACAAATAACATTAGTAAATCCTCTCTACCTGGCATACAAAACAACGAGTTAAATAAGATCATTATCCTTACCAAATATGCAGGCAACGGACCACATATCCACAGCCATTGAGTAATGGGTGGCTCCCAAAAGCACTTCAGGGGCTCTATACCACAGGGTTAGAATCTGAAAATGGACATATTGACATACAAATGTATAAAGGAAGCCAGAGGAAAAAAATATAATTTTTTTTCAGTGAAGATGCTATCTCTGTTGTCTTTTTACCTCATGCGTATATTTCTTAATTGGTACAGTAAATGCTCGAGCGAGTCCAAGATCAGCTATCTTAAGCATCATTGTTTTCCGGTCCATCAAGAGATTGTGGGGCTTCAAGTCCCTTAATAAACAGTGATTTTACATTCAATATATGTAAATAACATAAACATATATGTATATGCGCGCGCAGATGTGAGAGAAAGGAAAAAAAAAACAAGGAAAAGGGGTTAAAAACCTGTGCAAGATTCCATGACCGTGGCAGAAAGCAACGCCCTTGCAAAGTTGGTACATCAAGCTCTGTAACCAAATTCACAATTCACAAAATTGATAATAATAATAATAATAATAATAATAATAATAATAATAATAATAATAATAATAATAATAATAATAATAATAATAATAATAATAATAATAATAATAATAATAATAATAATAATAATAATAATAATAATAATAATAATAAACACAAAAGGGGAGAACATAGAGAGAGATCTTAATAATTATAAATGTATATTACTTTGATGATTTGAGGTGAAATGGATTCTCCAGTTTGACGGAAAGAGCGAATGAATTTCTTGAGATCGGTATCCATGTACTCAAATACCAAGTAGAGGACTGTCTTGCCTTCCTTGTTCTGACCTTGTTTGACATCCATTAACCTGTGTTTGGAATTAGGGTTAAGCGTTAAACAATGAAAGAAAGAAAGAACAGAGTAATATGCAGAAGAGAAAGAAGAAGTAGAAGAAGAAGAAGAAAGGGGAACCTATATACCTGACGACATGGGGATCGCGAGAGAGCATACGAAGAATGGAAACCTCACGGAGGGTGGTGGGAGGGACACCTTCTTCGTCCTCGTGGAGGCGAGTCTTCTTGAGGGCGACGATCTTCCCAGTGGCCTTTTCTCTTGCCCTGTACACCTTTCCGTAAGTCCCTTCTCCAACCTTTTCAAGCTTCTCGAATGCCTCCTTCGCCGATAGCACTCCTGTCTTCTCCATTTCTCTTACTCTCTCCTTCACCCAATCCTTCGATTCAATTCAATCAATACAAACCCCATTTCAACATTTGAGAATATATATAATAATTTTGAAATCCGAAATTGAGTCGTTCAGCAACGGACACTTGATTTTTGAATTTCAAATCCCGCTCCCCTCCCCCTTTCTCCACATCACAAATTAGGAATATCAATATTTTTATTTTTATTTTTTCCTTTCTTTCCACCAAAATATATTCATTCCTATTCTACGTAACTACAAATAATATAATAATAATAATGGTATACTAAATATTGTGTGTATATTTTAAATTTGATTTAAATAATATTTTTTAAACTTATTTTTTATTATTATTTAAAATATAAATTTGTTAATTAAACTTAAAATTTTTTTTTTGAACCATGGTATACATATAAGATATTTTTCTTCCAACATGTTTATTCGATATCCAAGTAAGATGGTTAAGATAATTATTTAACCCTTAGATAAGGATACAAGTTGTAGCTACTTACTTGTCCTAACAAATGTTGATAAATTGAAATGTAACCAAGTTTCATGATAGTTAATGTAAAAAGTAATAACTTACCATACAATTTGATTCATGATTAAATGATTTCGGAAAGTTACTTAAAATTATACAAAGAATAGTAATTTTATTTATCTTTATTAATTATTATTATTATTATTATTATTATTATTATTATTATTTATATAAATTAAATATTTTTAATCTTTTAAATTTGTTAAAAATCGCACAATTTGTTTTAAGAAAATTTAGATATATTGCATAACCCTCACACTTTATGATTTCAAGATAATAAGAAGATGATGAAGACATATGCTAGTCTTATAAAGAACATATTTAAATAGAATTAAAAAAAAATATTATGAGTTTTTAATTGATTTGTAAAGTCCTTTGGTCATAAATAGATAAAGTAATCAAGCCGTTGCCTGATAGTACTAAAAATATTAAATGATACTATATACGTTTGATGGTTTATTTGCATAAGATAACCAAAGAACCATATGAAGTTAATAAAGGTTTTTAATATTTTTGTAATAATTAAAAATATTTTCAAAGCAAATATATAGAAATTGGGATATGTAAATGAGTAAACTAGATGACAATAATTTTTTTTTTTTTATATTAGTTCACTTCAAAATCTTGGGTTATGTTTAATTTTTTTTAAGAAACACTTAAAGTTTATTATAATTAAGAAGAGTACAACTAAATATCTTTACTTCCACTTTTTGCTATAATAAGTAAATTATGTCACTCCTAACTAAGATGAGTATACTAGACCACTCTTCATTATTAAATCCTACATTTTTCTTAAAACTATGAACATCAAGTATTATTTTATGTCACTCTTAACTACATGAATGAGTGTGAATAAAACCACATGATACGCTCTCACAAAAAGGATATCTAATAGAGCACTCTTGACTGAGATTTTAGCTTCATTGAATAAATGATATAACAAGATTTTTCTCTCAAACTTTCTATAAATATTGAATGAGAAGCTTATAGACTATTGTTTTGTATGGTTGTATTGTGTCTTCTTCATTTGCTAATCTTTAACTTTTATAACCCTTGAAAAAATATGACCTTTGTTAGAAGAGATTGTTGCCTTTATTATTCTTTGGAAGTAATTCCTCGACACCTTGACATGCTTTGATATTCCATTAATCTTTGCCCATAATCTTCTCTTTGTAAATTCTTTCTTTATATTTTAAATGACATAGATCAATTGGTCCAGTGACATTGGACAACATTAGTTGATTGTTAACACACCGTCTGCTAGCTGATCTAATAATGGGTATTTTAGTTTAGTTTTCTCTGCTAGATAGTCTGATGGACATTAACTGATATGTTGTCTATTAGTTTAGTTTGATGGACTGATCAATCAACTTATCCATTAGCTATTATGTTAGGACACTAATTGATATTTTGTAAATGTTCTCCTTTATATCCTTGAACATATTTAACAAACATGTTAAATACACCAAGTTAATAATAATTGTTATCACTAAAATCATGGGTAAAGTCTTAGTCTATTATAAGACTTGAGGTAGTATGATTGTCCAAGTTTAACAAATTATATTTTGAAGAAATTAGAGGTAAATAAAAGTGTTTCTAATAACCAATTATCTCATAATTGTTAATAATGCTAATGTTATTAAAAATAAAGAACGAAACCATGATCATAACAAATATGATTAGTTTTTGAATAATTTAATATCTATATTAATTATCCTAAGGGAAATAAGTAAAATGTGAAAATAATAAGTCCATCAATGACCTATCAAACTAGCTAATGGACATGTTATCTTCTAATAATGACTAGGTGGATCTAACTAATTAAGATTGTCTAATGAAAAGTTGTCCAGTTAAGTATTAACTACAAAATAATTCGAAAAATACATTATAAAGTTAATTCCAAAATATACTACAAAATGATATGTATGTTGATTAAATTAAATGTGAAAAAAAAAGAGAATTTTATAGAAAAATATATGTAAATTATCATGATTCAAAATACAAAAATCAAGTGAAACATGTGAAAAATGAGAAAATGAAGTCATGCAAAGCAAATATTTGAGTGAAAATTTAGATAATGTCATGATTTTCCAAATGAACATTAGGAATATACAAGTATATCAAAATTTGTCCAAAATATGAAAAAAAATCTTTTTCTCTAAAAGGTCATGTCTTTGTAAAATGGAAAAGATGCAATATGCTACTCCATTGTACATGAATAAACTATTTGAGTAAACTCTAAACCTAATTCAATGGAGTATTTATTTTATGAATTTCGCCCAAATATATTAGTCTATATTAATTAACTTAGAATTAATTTAATATGAGATAATTAATAATTAAATCAAAGTAAAGAATTATTATGTTTTTCTCCTATCAATCCACTTCTAATCACTACTAGAAAATATACTTTCAACGTCGCTGTTTAACATCGGTTACATCTTAGCCGACGTTGAATATGCTTTCAACGTCGGTTGGTCAACAACCGACGTCGAAAGTCGAATTTTGACACATTCTACGTCATTTTAGCATGCCCGACGTGGAAAGTAGGCTTTCGACGTCGGTTATGCCCTCACCCGACGTTGAAAACCCTTCTGCATGGGCTTTCAACGTCCGGTGTGGGTATAACCGACGTCGAAACCCCGTTTTCCCATTTGAATAGGCTACCATTTTTGTATCTCCCCTTACTCTCCAGCATCGCGGCCACCACCTACCACCGTCATTTGGACTCTCCGGACGCCCTCCCTCACGTCGCCACCGCGCACCGCGTGACACCCCCGCCGCAGCACCTCCACCCCACTGCAGCTTCCACCCCACCGCGACGGTAGGCGCCGCATCGTCCACCGCAGACTCCAGCCGCACCGCAGGCTCAACCTCCACCCTACCACAGCCTCCACCCCACCCCACCACAACCTCCACCCCACCGCGACGCTAGTCGCCCACCACGACGCTAGTCGCCCACCGCGACGCTAGTCGCCCACCCTCCACCCCCACCGCAGCCTCCACCCACATTGCATTGTCCGCTCACCACAGCCTCGACCCTAACGCCGCACTACATCCTCCACCCCAGTGCAGCGCTGCTCTGTTTCTCTGTGGTGCGCACCTTCATCGCTGCCTTAACCCACAGGTACGATGTTGTTGCACTTATATTTGTTGGGCAAAGTCATACAATTTTACTTACTACATTTCATAGGTAGAGATTCTTAGTCATATTATTGTTGGCCGTTAACTGTTGATTCAATTCTTAGTCATATTATAGTTTTTTTCAATGTATTGATGATGTGTACAATTATACTTGAACTGCTTGAATATGCCCGTGGGACTTTTTATTGGCGTGTTTCATCGTGTCATTTAAAATTGTTGCCAAAAAACAAAGGAAACTCTGCTGGATTTTTGTTAGAAATTAATCATGAAGTGTGAATTCTGAAAACTACATATAACAATGTAGTTATATAAGTGATGGTAGTAACAATGAAAACTCTATAATTTCAATTTATACAAATTTGGTTTTGACTAAAAAATAGACGAAATTCCGTTGAATTTTCGTTACAAATTAATCTACTTTTGTATAGATTTCATTAGAGATAACGATTATTAGTATTAATCGTTTTATTGGTTTCTCATTTCTAGACTCCAATTCCAAAATGAATCGAAGTTGGGTAAATGCAAGTCGTATTTCACAAGAGTATGAGAATGGAGTTGAAGAATTTTTGCGATTTGCCGAACACAATGGCACCAAGGTTAATGGAAAATTGTATTGTCCATGCGTTAACTGCGTTAATGGGAGAGTACACACACTAGAGACAATACGGGAACATCTTTTATGTGATGGGATAATGAAGAATTATATCGTATGGACATGGCATGGTGAAGTGATTGATACACCAATAGTAACACAAGTCGAGGAAGAGGAGGATATGACAATGGAAGATCGAATAGAAGACATGATTCGTGATGTAGGTCAAGAGAATTTTCTCGCAAGCACATGTCGTTGTCTATGATAAATTGAAGATAGATTTAGAGATACATTTGTATGCTCGGATGTACAACATTCACGCGATTGTCAGCCGTATTGAGATTGGTCAATTTGAAGGCCAAATTTGGTTGGAGTGATAAAAGTTTCACCGAGTTACTAGAAGTTTTGAAAGATATGCTCCCAAGCGATAACACCTTGCCCGATCGTATGTATGAAGCCAAAAAAATACTTTGTCCAATGGGTTTAGAGTATAAAAAGATGCATGCTTGCCCTAATGATTGTGTATTATACGTAAAAGAGTTTGAAAGCCTACATGAGTGTCCAAGATGTGGTGTATCGCGTTACAAATTGAAAGACAAGGATGATAATAGCAAATATATTGATAGAAAGAGACCTCCTGCAAAAGTTATATGGTATCTTCCAATTATTCCAAGATTGAAGCGATTGTTTGCCAATGGAGAAGATGCCAAGAATATGATATGGCAT